TGGCTGCAGCTCGAGATGGCCACTTGGAAGTGGTGCAGGTGTTGCTCGAGGCTGGAGCTGACAAGAATGCAGCAACTCCGCTGAGAGAGTGCCAGAGTCGAACAGCAGCTGCCTGTTCATGTGAAGAGAGAGAAAAAACAAGGGGTGCAGGGCGGAGCAGAGCACAGCAGATGAGAGCATTCAGAACAACGTAGAGTAGAGTACAGTAGAGAGAGAGAGAGAGTTGGATTGGGAGGAATGAAGTTGTTGATTGGTGACACGTATGCAGGAAGTCACCTGAGAGAGAACTCCCGAGTTTCCAGTGGCACCTCAACTTACATATGCAGTGCCAAGGGCCACGGGTGGCAATCACCCTCTGAAACCCAGCATCTGGGCATCACAGACATGAGACAGTTCGTGAGACATGTCAAGCAATCCAGGGTGGACGTTCCGGCGCAAGTGCTTTAATCCATGCCTGCGCGTGAACCTGCCCTGTAGCAGCTTCTCATCTAAAAGCACTTCGGTTAGAAGTCCCAGGTCCGGCATGATCCGGATGAAGTGCAAGACCAAGATGGACCATAAGGTGGGCTGGGCCACGGCTGTGGGGAACGCTGGCACCGTGCCTTGGAGAAGTTGAAGGAGCGGTGAGTGGAGGAGTTCAACGGGTTCTGTGGATGGTGATGGGGGTTGGGTGGGTTGGCTGGGTTGGGTGCCTGCGCACCTTTTGAAGGTCTTTGTTGCACATCTCGGACATTTTGGTTGCAATCCTGGAGTAGAGCCTAGGGTACTAGGGTACCAGGGCCTAGGCAGAGCCTAGGGTACTAGGGCACTGAAATCTACGGTACTAAAGCTAGTTCGGAGGAAGCGCGCTCCGGGTTCGCGGTGAACCCGCTCGTTTGCCTCGTTTACCGACGGTGTGCAGAACCTATCGGTTTTTTGGGGCGCAAGAAGCCACGCCCACCCGAAAAGTGTTCCAAGGACCGACTGGGTGGGTGTTCGCATTCGAAGACCGGCGGCTGAGGTGTTTCTCACTGTCCACTAAGACCGGTCGCTTGGATGTAGAGGCGGCCTGGTTGGATGCTGTTGGATGTTGTTGGTGTTGCGGGAGGGCTTCTTCACAGACCATTCCACTACCTGCAGAGCAGGATTGGCACTGTCTGGAAAGAATCGTTTGTTATTCCTTGTGCATCCTCTAATTGGCTTATTCTCATCCAAGCAGCCTGGCTTCCGTTAACTTGATGTGAATCACCCATTTGTTCTGCCTTGTGGCGAAGCACGATGGGCACCAACTGGAACAAACTACTGTAGAATATAAGAATATATTAATATAATATATATATATATATTTTTTGTATATACGCATGTATACATGACCCGTGTATGCACGAGTCTTGTCCTCGAAAATCTCTGGCAGTCATGGTCCGGGCCTTTGCCACAGAGCCACAGTGCATGAAACTGATGTTTCTTCCCGGCAAACAGACCTGGAAACCCAACTGCCCAGAAGGGAGGCACCCTGTCCAGTTGACCGTGAAGTCAATCATCCCAAAGACTTCTCTAAGGCCCTCCGTTTGGCGGATGGCCCACGCGCATCGTGGGGCGGACAATCCACGCTGGAACGGCCTCTGAGAGAGGATGGCTCCCCTCAGAAGCAACCAAAACCAGAATAGAGCTGATAAAAATGAACGTTGTACAATTGTTCCCACATAGCGACCAAATGGATTTCCAAGACATTCTTGAGTCCGTGTCCATGGATTTAGGTGCACCTTTCACGGCTCTTGGTGACATTTTTCAGGCTGTTATGGGGTCGACTTTGGGGAAAAACATAGGGACAACGGCTCGGTTAGGACTATAAGCAGGTGTGAGTAGCTCGCTCACGCCAGAAAATTTGGCGTTTTCCATTCTCCCACCATTCTTGCCCGCAGGATTCAATAGACAAAACAACCTCTCGCGGTTGTTGTTTGCATGACAAATGACTGCCCACAACTGGGTTTGCAGAATGAACGATTCCTTAAGTTTAACGCAAAACCTCTTGGGTTTTCAATTCTGAGTCCCCGAAGTGGATCAGGGAAGGAATATGATGGACACACGTACACTTTGTCAGGTTTGCAACACAGGCGCCCCTGCTGTGCTACGCTTGGGGAGCCGATAGATGGGGGGATCCTGTTGCGTGCGTCACCGGATGTTCCGCCTCGGGATCCGAAAAGATGTCGGGTCGTGGAGAGGCTCGGCAGGCGCAGTTTGCGTGGGGAGGGGGAAAGCCTTTTCAGGACTGGCTCAGCTCGAATTTGCCACCTGGAATCTGAATTTTCAGGAAAGTACTTTGGGATACCACCAAGTTATCTTGCAATCTTGGAAGTGCTGTCAAGAGATTTTTTTGTTGCAGTTTTGTTGCATTGTTCCCACCACTTGAGTTTTGCAAACCTATGGTTCCTTTCAACAACCGTCAGTTGTTGGGGAATCCTGCTCGCTCGTTGGTCGGTTGGGGCGAATCTGAGACCTTTAAACATCGTTGATGGGTGATGTGTTCATTTAAGGGGGCACCAATGCGGGGTGATTCGAAGGGAAGGGGGTCAAGAGAGATTGGTGTGATCGAGATGCATTTCCTTTTCCCTGTTGTATGAACATGTTAGTGAGGTGTGTTTCCTCAGTCTTTCTGGGAGGTGTGATGCACACCAAAGTAACCTTAAGAACCCGAAAATGGCTTCCCGGAAGAGCACCGTCTCTACCAATCACACTCCATAAAGCACCTTGTATAGAGGCCTTCTGTGATCTACATTTGAGTGAGGGATTGAGACTGCACCCTCCTGCCCTTCGAAATCCTTTTGGAAAAACAATTGTGTGGGAACTACCAGAGGTGAAGACGCGGGTTTTGCACTTCTACTAATTTCACTTCTAGAGTTTTGGATGTGACTTACCTTTGTTGTTCCTGAGTGTTATTGACATCCCCCAGAAACTCTGCACCTCACAGTCGGGTAGATTCCTGAGGTGCTTTGGATGTGTTGCTTGTGGGTGTGGTGCTTCAGCTCGTGTCGACTCGCATGACCGGTGGTGCTTCTTCGGTCTTACTGTTTTGGTCGGCCACGAACTTGATCTTACGATTTCCCTGATTGCAAGGTAGGCTTATGATTGAATACGAGTAGCTTATCATGGAATATCATGCCGCAGTTTGTCCAAAGGGGCGGTGGGAGGATTTGAGGGGAACACCATTCTTAAGGTATCCAGTAGGTTCTCAAGGGACAAGAACACCGTCAATCCAATGAACACTTGGCATTGGCTGACATCGCCCAGTGGCCAAGGGGGAATCATCTCCAGAAGCCAGAAAGGCAGCGGCCGCCAACACCTTACCTTTTTGGACGGTCATGATCCGGTCGCATTGTTTGTTGTTGGAAGGTTTGCGAAGGTCTATAGCATAGACCATGTCAACTTGCAGCCAGAGAGTGAGTTTGAAGCTGCTAGAACTCTTTGGACCCTTCCCCACGCAGAATCTCGCTCGCGAGTCGTGGCCGCGTTGCCACTGGCCAGCTTTCATGCCTCCCTGAAAGGATCCCTTCGGAAGGGTCTGCAATCTTGGGCCGAAAAAAGGATGAACTTGCTTCTTCTTTTTGGTTTCCGCTCGTTCTTTTCAATGGCTTGGCTCTTTGTGGCATGTAAACGGGTGTATATACCTTCTGGATTCCTTTCTCCGCCCCCCGCGGGGGATTTGGACCGGATCCCGGATAGAAAGATCGTATCCATGGTGTGGCAATTGTGTGGCATCAACGGGTGACAGGCAGGAACCCCCCCAGAGGTTGGCGGTCCATTGGAATACTGGGTCTGTCCAGCCCCTGCTGAGGGGACTGCCACTATAGTCATGTTGCACTCGTTCCCCGATGGCCCCCATCGGCCCATGCAAAGGTCGGCTGAAAGAGCCTCCCTTCACTGCGACTTCTTGACGCGTCACCCGTAGATGGGTTGGGGGGGTGTTTTCAGGATACTTCAGGATTGCTCCAGGGCGGCAGTCCTGGAGACCACCACCAGTACGTCCTTATAGAAGACCTTCCTGTTTTTATGGAACTATCGCTTTCTTTTGGTTAAGCTCGGATAAAACGTGCCGAGATGTGACCGATCTGTGACCGATCTGCGCCATCCGCGTGGATCGTGTTTGGGGTTCCATGGATCGTGTCCATTCCTCATCCAGCACATGAGAATCACGGGCGCCAATAGCTCTCCATGGGAGCGTTTAAGATCGTCTGAACATGCTTGAACCATTTTTCAAACCGGGGTCCTTGACTACCTCGGCGCATCAAACATCAAACGAGCCTTCTGATTCGGAGATGTTGAGTTCGTAAGGAACCGAGAGGAGATCGCTCATGTTGTGCTTGGTTGGCAAGCTCTTGTTTGTTGTCAATGGTGTTCTCATCGTATGTTGTCGTGTCCGTTGTGAAGTTTTGGGTTATGGTGGATAGTGAGTCCACGGCCGGGCAAAGTCAACTCATCCCAGGTCTGGCCGTGTCTTCGGATATCGGTGTAACGGTGCATTCAAGCAATGGCACTTGTGATGCATCACGTGAAATCCTGTAAAGGCGGCCGGTACACGTCTTGGTGAAAATCATAAGAGGACCCACCTAAATGGCCCTGATCGCACAAGTGGCAACGGAACATTGCGCGAGTTCCTTGTGTCTTTTGCTCCACCATCTAAATGTACTACTTACTTGATCAAGACGTACACACACCAAGTATATACTATTTACACCACGAAAAACCTATCCTGTTGTCTCGGTGGTTGTCTCCTCAGCAACAATCCCTGGTGGGGGTGGGTGTTTTGGATGCTGGCGACTGAGGCCATCGACCATAGACATGCTTCAGGGCAACCTGCTAGGGTATCCGTGTGGGCGGGCGTTTGGCCATGCAGCACAAGAAAACACACAAATGCAAGAAAAGCATCTTGCACCAGCATTAGCACTCAGGTTGTTAAGTTAAGATATTCAACTGAATGAACACTGTGTCCGAAAGCAGCTTGCGGATGAAACATATTGACAAATCCTGCTAGGTCCTTCATTGGCATATTTAGCCCACGACTACTCAATATCGGATGAAGTACCCTATGATCAGGGTCAGGCTTCATTCCGTATATAATATACCTTGTTCGCAGTGGGAATAGGCTGGCTTAGATTCCCAGTGGGCTCTTTGCTCGTCTTTGCTCGTGGTGTCGCAAAATCTGTGGGGCGTTGGATCGAGCCGTCCCTCGTCTTTTCCATGTAGAATACATCTGAAGGGGTTAAGGTATGGTCTTAAGACACGGTCTATGAGCACCCTATGATAGGGTGTATTTACTAGGAACAAGGTTCGCTACGAACGGGGCTCCTGGCACCGCTGCTACTAGGAGCAAGGACGCTACTAGTAGCAATCCACTGACCTGTATATAGAGGCTTACTGGTACCGGTTGAGTACCGCCTTCGCCTCGGACACCAAAATTAATCAAAATTTGTTTTCGGTGAACGGGCCGCCGACGGAAGAAAACGACATACCGGAGGAAAGAGGGTTTGGAACGTGATGGTTCAAGGCCTTAATCAATCAAAAGAAAGTCATATTGCCATGAATAGACACCTCGAAGAGTGAGTTCTGTGAGAGAAAATTGCGTGCAACCGTATAAATGCACAAGAACGTGTCAGAGTGTCAGGGACGCGATCCCTCGACTGACGCAGAATTTCCAATGAGTATACTGTAGATCTGGTCGATCAAACTTTGGCACTGCCAGTGCACAACCAGCAGCCTTTTGGCAGCTACCATAACAGCTGTTTGGGGCTTTGGCGTGGTCTTCGGTCGGTTCCAATCTTAGTCCAATAGCCTGCCCAAGCGTTTGTTCCGCCACACGGGGGATCGCCCTAGCTTGAAGGAACGCCTTGGTGGTGTTTCCATCGTGAGCGAGGTGGGCCTTTTTTCGCCATGGTGGTTGGGCACCCGGGAGCTGTCGCTTCACCCCAGTTCTTCCTTTCAAAGCCATGCTCCATTCGTGCTGCTTTCTCGGTTGGCTAGGCGGTCGCGACACCCAAAACCGCTTATACGTCCAGTGCCGGATGGGAGGGGCTGGTGTTCGTGGGGCAACAGGGAGTCGATTTGTGATGGGGATTCCCTCTCGGATGCTCGGCTCGGGTGATGTGTGATGAGCAAACTGATGCGATGTGATGACGGTGATGACGGTGATGGGCGGAACTCCAAAACATAGACCGAAAGCAGGGGAGGCGTTCAATCAGAACAGGCACGAAAGCAGGAGTAAAGCACGTGGAGACGAAGCCGGGATCTCGACGGGCTCGTGGACCTGGTGGTCTCCGGAACGCTTGGTACTGGAAGGCTAGCTGAAAACATGCTGAAACCCTTAGCGATAGCGATGTCCATGGTCACTTGAATCGATGGTCATTCTCGCCCCGACCCTCTCACGAGAGGTGCACCAAGTGAAGAAGTTCGTTTGGTGCACTTCCATCTAATGTTCTATCGTTGAAGGCCCCTTTGACCCCTCTGAAGCCGCCAGGATGAGATCAGCCAGGGCATGTAACTTGCAGAAGATCAGTTCGGGGGTTGTAGGGCTCCCCACCAGGTCGGAACTCAACACTTTTGCTACCCTGCCTAAGTCTTGATCATGCCTTTGAGCAGGTTTTGCTGAGCTGGGTCCATACAGTGCCTCAAAGCCATTGGCGCCAAAAGAAGACGGTGTGTTCTAGCAATTCTCGCAAGGCAACAGGTGATGGTGATTGGCGGTCGGGCTCTCCTATGGGCAGTGGTGCAGGTGACTCCATCTCTAGAAGGCTCATTCTGGGGCTTAAGGCTGTCCTTCTTTTTGGTTGTGCCCCTTACATCCTGTGAAGATCTAAGAGACGGAAGAACGCACCGAAAACACCGACAGACGTGTCTGCATAAACGATGCTGGTCGCTTGTGGTTCGGCTTGCCCATGAACAAGGGGGTAGCTGAAACAAACTTCTTGATGCCTGCACCTTTTGGTGAAGCACAGGATGTACTGTAAGATTGTGTATGCCAGAGGTATACATACGCCTTTGCGTACCTTTTGTGTAGATCTTCAAACCTTTCGCGCTGATTTCGGGCACGGCTGTTGCATTCGTTCGAATCGGACATCAAACAACTCACGCGACAGATGGCAACATGCTATGCAAACCAAATACCTCCCAGCAGTTCCAAAGGGGTGCCTATTGGAGGGTAGGGCCTGCCCGTGTCACATCCAATCACTTGGGGTTGAAAGCAACCCCTTTGGAACTCCCGGAGTGCACGTCTTTTGCACCAGCCCCATGGGTCACGGACCTTTGTCGCGTTTGATCCCGAGGATGCCGCAACTGCTGGAGGCTGCACCCTCCGCAGGGGGTCGTGATACGGCTCGACCTAGAAAAAGACTTAACCCGGGAGACTCTTCAGCATACTAAGGGCGACTCTTCCGATTGAAAAGCACATTTTGGTCAAGGTTGGTCGGATTCGGTGGTTATTTTTTGGGATTCGGGCGATTCGGGCGGTTTTTTTTTAGGTGTCTATATAATCTATATATAATATATACTTATATATACATATACAGACATTTACAGAGCATCATATAGCCAGAGAAGGCCTTAACAGAGAGAGCTTGAGTTGTTCCATATCTGAATTCTCGTCTGCTGCACTTCAAGGCGATATGTGCTTTATAGCGCGCATCCTGGTATGTAATGTAATTACAAGTTTTGGTATATTTGTTATATAGTTATTATAATATGTTATTATGTCAAGGACATGTCGAGGACATCCACGCATGTCGCACGCAGTTGCTGCACGACCCCTTAGACTGCGCGACCACTTTGTCAAGAAATTCGTCCACTTCGACTGCGCGGTGTGGGATGTAGCTGTCGTCACTGTCATCCCCTGTCATCCCCTGATCACCTCCGATCGGTGATTCGTCCCTCCCTTTAGAGTCGAAGTGCCGTTGGACCCCCAACACATCACCCGTTGCGCCGTTGGACCCCCAACAGGCCGCGTGGGTCCTGAACTCTCCACACCTCTTTTTCTCCCTTTTTGTTCGCAAGACCGGTGAACACTCGAAACACGGTGGCCCACGGAAACACGGTGAAAGGGCCATGGTGTTGGCCGCCCACGGAATCACCAGCCATGCTGGGGGCGCGTAATATCCATGATCTTGGGAGTGAGTTCCCCCGTTTTGGCCGCGGGTCCCCCCGGTCTTTGGAGTTCAATGATGGAACAGCTAGCTATAAGAGTTATAAACTGGCAGCCTACCGTTACCTGCCCCAAATTGCAGGAGGCTCTCTTTGCCTCCTGGCGCAGTCGTCAGACTTGTGAGTTAGGTGGTGGGGCTTTGGAACGGCCGGCACGCCTGTTTTCTGACAGTAGTAATACCTATAACCTACTACAGGTATATAACCTATAGGTATATAACCTATATGACAGTAGTAGCACTACCTATAGGGTATATAGTAATCAGTTTATATACCCTATAGTTTAACCAATGGTAAGCCTGTGAGATAAGAGGCTTTGAAGCAGTGATGTGCCCCAGTGATTGCACCGAACATGCGATGCCTTCCTCGAACATGCGACGGTCTTCCTCGAACGGCTTGTTCTTCAGTGAAGATAGCAGACCAATGGTGGTTAGACACGATATAGAAATGTGTTGGAAGGGAAGGTGGGGATATATATATATATAGCTGCTTCTCCGGATGTTGTGATGTGAGATGTGCTTTCATGTCGGCCTCCAAGTGAGGTCGGAAGAGAAACAAAACTTTGGTCTGCCTGCAATGGCCGGCCGCAAACCTTGTCTGTTGGTCGGATGGTTTTTTCGAAAGGCGAAGGCGCCAACACCATAAAGTCGACCCCCCAAATGTCCACCAAGTCCGACGTACATGATCGCTGGTGGTCGACTGGGGACACCCAGTCGTTCTCCTTTGCGGTTCGTGGAACGCTCGCTCATCGGTGCGGAGTCAAAGCAACTGCACAAATTGTTGCCTATGAGGTGCATATGGCTAATACCCTAGACTTCCAAGATTCCAAGACCATTAAAATAAAGGTTGACCTGGTTTTGTAGTGCAAAATCCTTAGTCAAATGGTGGTTCGGTAAAGCTGGTAAAGCCCATTATATACGTAAATCTATTGAGGTTGGAAGCCTTCCTGACTGGTGTATAGCGTATTAAATTATGTTGCCGCAATTTTCCAAGCATCACTGTTCTGCCGTTGTATTTCACCTGGAGCATAGGCAATCCGATAGGTTCCCCCTCGATTGGGGCCGGTGATGCGGGTGCGATCAGACGACTAAGGGCTCGAATTCCTTTCCAGGGCAGGCCTGAGTGTAGTTGCGGCTGCGTATGAGTGGTCCTGCAAGCGGATGGGCCAAGAGCGGCGACGCCCCCCTTGCGGGCGGCGCCGCCGGCTGCATGGAACATGTCACCTAGGCACCTAGAGCATCACCGTTGTGGCGCCGGCGCTGCCTGGCAGCGCCGAGACCTCTTGGACTTGGCCCATACGGAAAAGATTCCGTTTGCTGCTCCACCCTAGTCACCCCCAGCTCCGTACCGTTTGCCGCCGCAGCTTGAGGAAAAGACCGCCGGGGTGCGAGGGAACTTGCAGGGCTCGGCCTGTGCTTCATGCTTTGGTGGTGCGTAACATGCTGGCTTTGGGTGTGAGTGGCGTCGGAACTGGGCGGGTGGGACAGGTGACATCGGTGGATCCAGGTCAGGTAAGGCCGGCGTTCTTTTCTCCGTACCGGTCTTGGCAACCATCCGTCTCTGGGCAAGTTGCTGGGCAAGTCTCTGCGGTCTGAGAGTTTTTCACACGTCTTTTAGCATGTGAAAGCCAGCACTTCGACACGAAGGGCTGTCCACCTTCCCACTGGCGCCCAACTTGATGGTCCACGCTGACCCGCAGTGCTTGGCTTAGTAGGTGTCGGCGCTGCTTCGGCCGGGCCGGCGCCAGGCCGGATGTGGGGGCCGAACGGCGAAGGACGCGTTGTCCGTTCGGGTGGTGCGAAGGGAAAAGGCGCCGGGGGTCTGGGGGACGGCGAGGAAGCCAATGGCTTCTGCAGAAGCAGTTTATTTTGTTTTGCCTTCGTCTTGTACAGCCATGCGGAGAGCTGGAGAGCTGGAGCAAGAGCCGAAACACACTGAAGAGCAACTTGTTGACTGAAGCAACCAACCCCAAAAGCATCCAAAAGCCATGTAGAGTCTTCTTCTCGAAGGGCGGGGCTATGCGGACCCGGCTTTGGGCAAGTGGTCCGACACTTCCCAAAGTGAAGCCACGAAGCAGCAAAGACGCCAGGAACGCACCGTGTGAGGTACGTGAAGGGCTGCCAGCTCGGCATGAGCTATTACTCGCAGCCCTCCTTTCCACAGCTCTACGCAGCGGCGCAGGCGCTGCGGAAAACCGGGTGGCAGGGGCAGAGTTGTGTCGGTGGGGAGTTCAGCCGTTGGGTTCACCTGTCGAAGCCCGGCTCAAGCTGGGCGAAGCCGCGGCGCCGAGTCTTCGCAGGTCGCCAAGGGTATCATCATGAGGTGTTGCAGGTGGATCTTTCGCGGATCGGGTGATCTTTGGATTTGTCCACCCTTTCGAGGACGACCGGTTCGGTGCTCGTTTTTCCCACCCGGGGTTTTCCCCACAGCAAATCCACTGGTTGCAGGCCGGGGGGACCTGGAAGCATCCCAGGTAGAAGCGTCAACGAAGGGGCAACCCTTCGAACGATCCATTGGAGGAGACCAGAATCGTTCGATCAACCACCGTGCCACCAGTGGTGGTGTTTTCCGGATGTCACAGACATTCGGACGTCAACCAATGGTGTGAGCACAGAAGGACGAAAAGAGGAGATGGCTGCCAGGTCGACCCCCCTTGTCAGGACAGAAACCATGTAAATTGACCAACCCTCTAAAGATGCTGTCCAGGTGCCCAGCAGGTGCCCACCAGGCGCCCAGCAGGTGCATCCAAGCACTGCAACCACCTGGGTGTGTAGCATCCACCTGTGGGGTCTCTGAGGCGTCCGCGACCTCCCAGTGTCTTGGCGGATGGCGTTCGGAGCGGGTCGGTTCATTGGACTCGAACCCCGCGGTTCGCAGGGCGCTCCACGTCTAACCGGACCTAAGGGGGGGCACGCCCCATTCAAAGGCTTTTCATGTTTTCTTTTTTCCCATCCCATCCCATCCACCCTTGGGCGCTCTCCTGGATGGGGCTGTAATCCACGGTGCTACTCCACTTATATAACACACACAATATACATATATACGTGTACATATCTGAATACCTTTGACTGAACACAACGAGGACCACCAAGCTTAACGGCTAAACACCATCTGAGGCATGCAAGACCGCTGGTGTGTCACTTCCTTTTTGATGGTGCAGGTGTCGTCTGACAACAGTAGACATTCTCTGCCTTCCATGCTTGGTCTTTGCGGTGATTGTGTGGCATGCTGCGGCAATTCATCCACATCCTATACTGTCCTCTTGGTAGCCATGCGTGTGTTGTGCCGCTTGAAATGTTCCGAGGTCTTATGGGCGGTCCGCGGAGTATCCTCGAGGCAGATGGGATTGGCTTCCTCCTTTTTGGGGTTTCCAAGAATGAAAGGCTCACTCAGCCATGGATCCTACAACGCACTTTCAGACCGAACATGCCATGAGCCATGGGCTGGACCATCATGGGGCGTGGACCCTTCTGCTCCGTAGAACTCAGACTGCTTGGAACCCCGCCGGTCAACTAGTCCCCGCGTGGTGCGGTTTCTCCGTGTTCTGGGGCCGGGAGGGTCGGTCGAAAGGGGGTCGACCTCCGCCGGCGGGGAGGTCGGACGTTGTGGCCTGGCGAGGAGTTCAGACGAAGAAACACCGGCGTTCTTGGAACATGCTTGGCCAAGGATCCCGTACCGTAATTCACCTCCTCGTCCGGAGTGGGTTTGGAGCTCCAAGAATGCATACTGGTGCATGTCTTTCTCGTGGACTATTCACTAGAGAGCCACGGAAGGTATGCCAATGAGGTCTTTCTATACAGATGTTCATCGCTAGTAGGTTGGAGGCCATTGCTATTAGGGTAGAGGCCATCGCTAGTATGTTAGAGGCCAATGGGCCACATCTTTTCGGCAAAGCCTGGACTCGGGGCCTCGCTGTTCCAGCCAGATGGGTCGTTTTCCCGTCTTCGCCCCTCTTTCCCTCTTTCGCACACTGCCAAATGGGGACGGCTCAGGCTACGGGTCGGCGGCAGCGAGCCCTCCGGCATCTGCAGCAACCACTGCACAGCAGGTTGGGCAGTTGTGAAGACTAGCGGGGTGAAGGACCACCGACCTAATTGGGGTGTTCTAGTCCAACGTGTTCGGCGGTGGATGATGCTGTATGATGCTGTATCCTCCCGAGTGAGCCATTTCACAATCAAGAGTCAACAGTCTCCAACCAAAACTACTGGCTTTGGTCGTGTCTCGTCTCTCTTTTTTGGGATGGCGGGTTCCAAGTTGTGGGTTTACGATGGCTCTTCTTCCCGACTCTTCATTTTTTTGGGAGATCCGAATCCAATCAGTTCACTTCCCCAAAAGGTGAAGAAACAGCCAGGGGGGCCCCATTTCAGATCACCATGAGCCAGGCCTATGCTGCTTATGCAGCTCAGGCGGCTCAGGCGGCTGCCGCTGCCGCCCCGCGGCAGGTGGGGCAGAACACGGGACCATGGGATGAGCTCGCAGATGAGCACAACACTGGCCGGCTTCAGGGGATTTCAGGGGTCGAATCGGCCCAACATGTCCGTGTGCCAGGAGGCCTCCAGAGCCATAGTGTCCACCGCGAGCGAGGACGGTGCGTTTGGTGCCTTTGGTAAAGTTGAGGCCATGAAGTGAGGCATAGGACATGGCAAACTCATGTGCCCATACGTGTTTTGTCTCACAACAGCCGCGTGAACAATTCAGACCATTTCACACCATTTCGCACCCATGGCTTCAACAACACCCAGTTGAAGTAGCCTATCTATAGTGAGTTTCATGGTGTTTGCCCCTCCGAAGATGTCAAGTCTATGAAACCCATGATAGATATCATTGATCGATTTTGACCACTTTCTGCCTGCAGGATGTTGTGGGAAGTGTCCCCCACCTCTCCGTGACGGGCTGCACCCATACCACGGTGGGGGGCATCGTGCGCGGGAACTTCACCGCCAACGGGCAGAACCACGGGCGACCGACCTACAAGAAGGATGCGCAGGTGAACGGCTTGGACGTGCAGCTACCTGGATATGGTTCATGGTGCCATCTTTTGGAGCGGACGTGGTTTAGGGATCTTGAAAAAAGGGCCGACATTGGACAGGTGCCTTCTTTTCTGAAATTTCGGAAGGTCGTGATTTTCGCAAGCGTGTTTTATCCAGGGTCCTTAGTGAATCAGATTTGCGCATTGATTCATTATATTTAGGTGATTATTTTTTCCTTCTCAGTTTTGGCACCGCACTGAGAAAAACTGGGCTGAACTGGACCTGCCCAACAAGGGACTGAAACTTCTCATGTTCACTTTGTACGTTGGATTTGTTCGTCGGGCCTAGCTGCCCCTCATTCTCATTCAAAAAAGACCTTTCCCGCAGCAGCGATTCAGTGGCCTCAAGCAGTCGAGTGAAAAACACCCGGACACTGCAGAAAGTTGCTTTCTATCATGATGTGCATTTTCTTTCTCTCTCTCCTTTGTACACAGGTTAAGTGACCTGAACTAGGACCTTACTGCTATAGGATAGTCTATAGGTACCTATAGTGACCTTGTAGGGTAGTGACCTTATAGTGACCTTATAGGTATATAGTCTCTAGGGTTCTTCAACCACTGCTGGTCTGACTCCATCTTTTGGTTTCGCTTCGGCCCGGCACAAGCCGAGGCTGTACTACTGGGACGACCGCGATGGTGCGAGCTTCTGCGGCTGGTGGTTCGGCCCCAAGGCCAGGAGCGGAGGCGGAGGTGGAAGGTGGGTGGGTGCGGTGATGTTTCAGCGTTTTGGCGAAGAAGCAGGGTTTTTCATGCGTTTTTCCATTCCAAAGAGCCAGGGGCCCCGGAAGAATCTGGCCCTTCGCCCTTCGTGAAATGATCACATCTGTGGACCAACGTCGCTCAGATGAGAATTCGTTGGACAGACAGTCTGGAACAGAATTGTTAGAACTAAGTCACTCCTCTCGTGTGTTGTGTCTTCCGGTGAGAATATGAACATGTGGCGAGCTGACCTCGCAATAAAGTGCTCTGCCGCAGCTCCAGGTGGGTGGCGACCAGGTCTGGGCCTACCATCCATCGTCCACCGCCATGACGCCGCCCAAGACGGGGTGGAAGGTGCCCTATGACGGCCCGGTGGACAACAGCTTCTTGATCTCGCCCACCACGGCCTCGCAGACGGCCCACGCCACTGGGGTTGTGAGTCGAGGCTTTTTTGAGGCGGAGAGTGTTTTGGGGCGACCCGGGGGGCCTCTCCAAACCAAGAGGATTTCAGAGGGTTTTTCCTTTTGAAGGCATCTTTTTTCCAGCAAAAAGATCAGATCAACATCATCTAACCTCTACGACTCTACGACTGGTGGGTGCTTTTGAGGTTCTTTGGCTGTCGCTGCTGGGGCCGAACTGCAGGTGAAGCGAGACCGTTCACGGCCAGACCACGTGGTCCGTGTTCTCGTGGGTCGGGGCCCACGATGGTTTGATCCCAGAAGTGGTGTAGAGGGAAAACCTACCGGAAACCTGTAGTTTGGGGGTAAAGACATGTACAGATGCCGCAGGATAGATGGTTCACTTTAATCAACGTCTCTGGAGCCGCCCTGGTCCGTCAGGGCCGACCTTCAGCGCAGCACGGAGCGCGCCTGAGGTCCCGTCGTCCGACTTGTCGTCCTACAGCTCCCCGTACCAAACGGCCGAGCAGCGCATCAAGCAGCAGCAGCAGGAACTCATGCAGCAGCAAATGATCGCGCAGCAGCAAAAGGCGGTACAAATGTCCGAGATGAAGAAGAAACAGGAGAAGCCATAGCGAGCTGATTTAGTCCTTGACCATGACACTATACAGAAACGCACCTGTAGACCTATAGTGGTTGCAACTCTGTTCATTTTGGGTTTGGGCCCGTGTTTCAGGCGGACGCACCTCGGTCGGGCAGCGGACACATTCTCTCGTCTTGCCGTGTGAGGGCTTGTTTTTCGGAGTCGATGTGGTGGCAGCCAATGCGACAGGGAAACAGCAGCCCCTCGAGGTTCTGGGCTTTTGAGTACGCTCGTCCCCGCTGGGGTTTTGGGGGGCTTCCAACCGGGTTGACAGGAGGAAGCGAGAAGACAGCAAGAAGAGGCCAGGGCGTTTCATGGAGAAGAATGTGCAATCAAGGTTTAGAACTGTAGTTTACCAAAAAACGACAAAAAAGGTCGGTCGACGCCGCTCACACTTCAGCACCTGCGAACGTGCGCGATAGCTTAAGTGATGCGGAAAGGGTCATCATGCACCCTCGGTGCACGTGATGGTTGTTTTTTTTGGGCCTGGTTGGGGAAGCTCGTGGGGTCCAATGGATCGCGATCCTTGGTGTAGTTGTGCAACCTCGAGGATCAGCGAGGAAGGCTGGCGGAAGACGGGCTCCCAAGGACAAGGAACGAAAAGTGTTGCCAACAGTTCCCAACCAACGTGTACGGGACACCATCATGTAACAGTGGCTTCACCAAGGTTCCTACACCTTCTGGTATCCGAGTGGTGTAGCAATCCTCGGCAAATTTCAGAATTGAGCGACGTCGTATGGCCATACAACAAAGTCCTATACTTTCAAGTGTTTTACTTATAGGAGACTGTATAGCTGGGCCTGGGCCTGGCAGCTGCGTAATGTTTTTGCCCTTTGTGTCCCATTCAAGTACCAAACAGCTGCAGTTCATGCAGGATGATTGACCACATCAGGATCCGTTTATTTATGAGAAGACAATTCAAGAGCACAACATCACTGATGATGACCCACAGAATCCATTTGGATTGTGGAACTCTTGAGGCAGTCCCCCTCAAAAACAGGAGGCATGCGCCCTGCGAGTTTCTCGGCTTCTTCCCGAACCACCGGACAGCCAAGACCTGCAGCTCTGGCAGGCGCGCGTGCGGCAACAGGAGGAGGTGAAGCGAAAAGCCGCGGAGCAGCGGATGAAGATGGAGGAGATGACCAGGCGCACCACGGGGCGGGCTGCAGATGTTGGCGTTGGTGGGTGAAGATGGAGGGGAGAAAGGGAACGCTGTTCCAGGGCCGACTCAGAGATTCAGCAGTTTCTTGATTTGCACGGTGCATGGTTTTTGGTCGGATGTCGGAGGAGAACTGCCATTGTTGTACCAGGGTTTCATTGAATATCCGGCATCCAGCGAGATGGGCCCACTGATTTTCATAATGTCGGCTAGAGCCTGGATGGCCTGCATAAATGCAATATCACTATAACGTGTTAGGATGTTCTAAAACGACACTGAGCATTTACTGTACTACTACATCTGTGGCTCAGGCATGGAAAACTGCCATCAGATGCTATCATACAACCTGGCTTGGGCAGTGTGATATGAAGGATGTCCCAGTCGCACTCCCTCTGTGTCTGGTTCTTGCACTTGGTCCAAAGTCTCACCAGGCAAAAGATGGAGCAGGAGAAGAGGTTGGGATGGGAGGGGTTGAGCGAGAAAAATGCTGTAGTGGCTTTGCGCTGCGGTGGGAATGGAGCTTGACCGATATTGATCCATCTCGTCCAAACTCGTGCACGACACAAGGCAGAAAGGGTCTTTCGTCATCAGCCATCCAAGCCGTCTAAGAAGCCACACTCTGCCTAGGCTGGCTGAGGAGCGCAAGCGGCAGCACAACGAGCAGAGGGCCGCGATGACCCTCCGCCACTTCCTGGCACAGAAGGCGCGGACCGTGCGGTGTCGCGAGGGCGGCGGAGCTCGCCGCTGGATCTTGTCCCGCGCTTTTGTGGTCCAAGGGCCATGGCTGGTTCCGGAGCTTGGGACTTTCTTCTCCAAGATTGAACACCCATCAGTTCATTGGAATTTCACCTTAATTTTGAAAAGGATTTTCATCGGTTTCTCATGGAAAACCCAATGGTATCTTTCCAAGATACTCAAGCACTTCACCATCTTCACCCATCAGTTCCTTTTGGTCGCCGGACTTCCACCCACCCACGTTGGACGTTCCGTGCCACGCCGCACGTTCTTCTGCGCCGGCTCAGATCCGAGTGGCCAAGGAGGAGCAAGACTTGTCCACGGCCCAACAGGAGAGAACGGGCTTTCTGTGTGACTAGTGTGCTTTAGGTGGTTGGCGGTAGGTGGAAAGAGTGCTTGAAATGGTGAGTCCTATGAAATGGTATTCCAGGTATTACGTTGGGTTTGTCCTAATACCTGTATTGTCAGCAAGACAGGTCTTTACTAACGATCATCATCCACGGTTACTGGCAATAGGGTAGACCCAAGCTTTACTGTAGGTGGTTGGTGGAGAGAGTGCATTTCCGAAAACTAACATGGACCCACCCTGAGAATGGCAACCTGAAAGAGTCTACTGTACAACCCGTGGTTTCCTGGATATATATATATATATACAATACAAAGTGTCCATGAACGTTCGAAAAAACAAAAGCTCTGGTCCATGCACAGCTGTTAACAGCTCCGAAGCCACAGGAACTGGCCGAGTTGATGGCACAACAATTGCCCTTGTGCGGCGCCAACGCGGAGAAGGCAGGGATGGGAAGAAGCAGATGTCCTGGAGGCGGAAGGTGAAAGGCGAAAGGAGCTTCTGAAAAACCATCGTTTCTGACGCGGAGTTGTGCTTCGTCCAACTGACCTTCCGGTGGATTCGAAGAGAGTTCAATGCCTGGCCCCCTTGGCCGCCTCCGCAGGTGCAGGCCGAGTGCGCACAGGCGGTGGAGATCACCATGAAGCGCATTGAGGCTGGGGTGTCTGGCGGAGGATGGTCATCCAAGAGCAGAGGGATTGCCACATAGATCGATGGTCGATCTGTTTAGAGGTTGTGAGTCATGCGGGTGACATTGACTGTGAGTGCCCTGGCGAGGTTTGTCTCTGGCGTTTGGGGCTTCCTGCATATTTGGAGCCACTAGGCCATTCTCACAATGGCAACCATGCACCGCAACCACGCAACCGATGCGTGGATGGTTGTTTTCCCAAATTTGCACGGTTTCCAGGTAGATCGACCACCTGAACATACCAAAGCCAAGGTCAATAGCCTAGCCATAGGCTTGACAGGTTGTATTCTGCAGTGTGCTCCAGGATGGCTTAGAGGTATGTTGCTCGGGTTGGCAAGGGGGTGCATTGAGGTAAGGATCCACACTGAAGCTAACCGATGTTTTCCCCCCTTTTTCCAGGAGGTGAATCCGAAGCACCCCAAGGAGGAGGAGGTGCTTCTGAAACTCCATCCGCAGCACGAAACCCCGCAGCCGCCCGCCATGACGCGACGCGACGCCTGCTCTTCAGCTCGTTGGGCAGAGGCGGAGAAAGAGAAGAAGAGACAAGAGGAGGAGCGTTGGATCCTCAGGACCTCCCAGGAAACATCGAAGGTATGGAGAGATGGCTGGAAGCTCTGCCAGCAACCGTGCGGATGACATGAGTGAGACTGAGAACCAAGAGCCCTAGCAAGCCCAGCTTCGCAGGTTTGGCTTCCAATTTTCGGCGCGCCGTGTGTAAATACATGTAACTACGTAGGTCCAACCACATGATTGCACCGCCATCCTTCCACTCCAGCTTTCCACCCACCTCACTGCTTCAAGATGCGCCCGCACGTGCTGCGCCCGCGGTCATGGCACTGGCCCGGCCTGGGGCGCGGCCCGCGGCTTCCGCCCGCGCCCTCGACCGCGGTCAGGGCGCTCTCCATTGGGGCGCTGACCGGGATGGGGTCGCCGCCCGAGAAGAGGGCGGGGAGCCACGCGCCACGCTTCCATGTGGGTGTGGTAGTAGTGCCTCAGCAAATCGCCTGGGTGATCGAAACCTGGTTGGAAAAGGGAGCTGGGATTTGAGTAGAGGTGGGGGAAGGAGGGTGTTGGAGTGTTGATATTCGTAGTCTTGGGGGATTCGATTTCGATTTGTTTGATCTGTTCGGAGGTTATTTCATGTTATTTCAAGGACTTGGGTTTTGGAGGGTTTTGGCTCCGAAAGCTTTGGTTAGGTTGCGGCGATCCGTGTCTCACCGGTGACCAGTATAGCCTGGAGGCATTTGCTGTATTTGTGCAGTTACCCACCATCCCCGAGAAGATTTGGTCAACTGGGTGCTAGAACACTAAATATAAAGACTTCCCTTTGGTTTGCAGTACAACCTGAAGTAGTTCACCTTGAAAGTATAATATATAATATATATAGATTACTGTAATATAGTTCTTGACAAAGGCACAAGAGCACTCTGACTATCTCTGACTTGGTCTAGAACTTTGTTGCACGCGTCACTCGTCGCGCGCGAGTCGATGTACCATTGGGTGTACCACTCCCTCTGAGCCTGCCATCGTTCAGGAACGCTTGGGGAAGTTCCAGAAGGTTCTGGATCCAGGGATTCACTTCCTCGTACCGCTGGTGGACCGGGTGGCGTATGCTCACTCTTTGAAAGAGGAGGCCATTGCCATCCCCAACCAGCAGGCCACCGGGCACCAGCACTCAGCATGTGGTGGTGGAGAGTGAATGACTCGTAAATGTATATATATTTTCTTGTTTTCGGCACAGCGCATGGCGGACCAGACCGAAAGGCACACAGACAGATTAGTATTTAGTGTGGCCTTCATTCTGGCATCGGCACTAGTAGAGGCTCAAAACACCTCAAAAAACACCAATTCGACCTTAAGTTCTTCAAAATACCCTAGTGGCCCTAGTGTTTCCATCTGAATCTGGACCATTCAACCACAACATCGCCCCATTACCCGTGCCGACAGGCAATCACCAAGGACAATGTGACCATCAGCATCGATGGAGTCTTGTACCTCAAGGTGGTCGACGCCTACCAGGCGCTGGCGCTGGTGGGATGTTTGGGTGAGGAGCATCTTTCTCCACGCAGTTCTGGGTAAACCTCTTAAAGTGGGAGGATGACGCCAGCATTTGGGGGGTCAAACTGCAGAGATATTTGAGATATGAGATATCCGAGATTCCTGGCTGGCACACCGGCTTCAGATCAACAATCGGCGCTGCAGATTTGATGCAACTGATACGCTTTGCCATGCTTGTCCACAACTTTTTGAGTGCTGACTTGGCTGTTTTCTTCACACCCACTCTGTTCCTCAGAAGGTTCACTGCTGAAAGACTCCAAAAAGAAGGTCAGGTCGAGACAGCCAAGTGCTCCTGACCCGGAATGCAGACGACATCCAACCATCCACCCGCCCTCCACCGGAATGGTGGAAGTGGAGTGAGTTCGCCACGGGTGTGATCAACCACCTGTTTGGTCTTCGGACTGGTCATCCGAAGGAAAGGGGCCATGCCATGCCCGCGGTCACCACGGATCTATACTCCCTCTTGCACGCTTGAGCCGGTGCTGGTGCTTCCGGTGGTGCTTCGCCGCTTTCACCTGCCCAGGCGTCCTACGGGGTGCACGACCCCTTCTTCGCGGTGACGCAGCTGGCGCAGACCTCCATGCGCTCGGAGATCGGGAAGATGACGCTGGATCGGACGTTCGAGGAACGGGATGCCATGAACCAGGCGTCGGATGAGGGGCGGGAGTTGGGAGAGAGATCGAGGTGATATTATAGCAAAGATGGAGAGTTTTTTCTTTGGTCGTCTCTAGTCTTATAGTAGTTATTCTCGTTTGGGTTGTGCGACTCAAGCATCTTGCTGGCAGATTTGGAGGTGGATTATTCGTGTGTCTTTATGTCTCGATGATGTGAGACCGAGCAACTATGAGCAACTATTGTGGATTTCGGGAGGGGAATGAGAGGTCCCAACGCGGTGATGGGAACCCCCCGGTGGATCCACAGGGGTTCGTGGAGTTGTGGGTCGGGTCCTATCCTCCAACCACCCCAGTCTCTGTGTCCATCAGGCGATCGTGCACGCCGTAAACGTGGCGGCACACGCGTGGGGCATCGAGGTGCTGCGCTACGAGATTAGGGCTGCTTGGTGTCAGCGGTTCCGTCCGCGAGGATGACTGTGGGGGAACTTGCGAGTCCATTCTTCAGCATGACACCTGGGAAAGTGAACATGGAACATAGCCATGGACCCTTGGAACAAAACAAATTGCCCCTGCCTTGTTTTGACAGTTGTTGGTGGAGAGTCCAAGGACATTATCCCGCCGCCCTCCATCAAGCAGGCAAGGTGCACACTTCAACTTCAACAAAAAGATTCATGCCCGGATGATTACTTTAGGTCTTTCAAGTTCTTTGACTTTCCACTGCCAGGCTTCCAGAGATGGAAGTTATTGATTTCCAGATCCATCCACCTTCTCTTGCAGCTCCAGCTGCGCCAGAAGCGCCCAGCCCAGCCCCGCTCGAACGCCCTCGCCAGGCCATGGAGATGCAAGCCGAGGCCGAGCGCCGTCGCCGTGCGGAGGTGCTGCAGAGCGAGGGCGACCGGCAGAGCGAGGTGAACTTGGCCGAAGGCCACGCGTGCCGTGCCGCCGCGCGGCCACGCGGCCACGCGCGACGTGGGGACGGGTGGGGCGGCGGCCTGGTTGGATTTTGGCGTGGCTAATTAATGTGGGGGGAGTAAGACATCATATGCACTGTACGGCACCTGGCACTGTTTACAGTGAATGCGGTATGGTCCGTTTTCCAGGACTGTACGCCTTGCATATTTTCCTGTCCTCACCATCCCTCGTCCAAGTCTCGCGTCTTGCAGATGCACACGCGCACGCGCAAGGCAAGATGCAGGCGGCCATTCACCAGGCGGGATGGCTTGGGTGAGGCGTCCTGTGGTGTGTTCTTTAAAATCCCCTCAACTGCTTGGGGAACCCGCCACTCTCCTCCAAGTCGAAACTGCAGAGCTGGAGGTTCGGGTCGGAGTCGACGAACAACGTTGCAGGTTGGTCGCCTTCTGGTTGTGTTAGTTCAGGCAATTGATCTCGCACCCCAGTTCTCCGGAAGCCTGCGCAAACCATAGTGGACATTGCCCCCCCCGCTGGGTGAAACCATTTCTGTCCCCTTCCCAGGCAGAAACGTGCCAACTTGGCGCCCAACCTGTCCTCCCCCCAGCAGGTTGCTTAGGATCCTGCCTCCCATCCGCCCGGTCTTCTTCGAGGCCAAAGGCGACGCCGCCGCCATCCGCGAGCGCGCGCGGGCCACCGCGGAGGGCATTGAGATGATCAGCGCGGCGATGCGCGTGCCGGGCGGCCCGGACGCGGCCAAGCTGCGGGTGGCAGAGCAGTGGGTCGCCGCCTGGAAGGAGCGCCCACCTGGGCTGATCGGAAGAGGTGATGTGCACCGTGCGTGCCCGGGTAATAGGGGGGTCGGGGGTCGGAAGACCAAACATGCCAAAGCCCATGAGTGAGGAGAGCCCACCTGAGTTTGAGTCAGGCCATGTCAGGCCTATTTCATTGGGGCTCGGCCCGGCCACAGCGCTTGGCCAGGAGATCGCAAAGAAGTCCAACACCATCGTCGTCCCGGCCAATGCCGGCGACGCGTCCTCCATGATCGCTGCCGCAACGAGCGACTTGGAGGGGTTCGAGGGTCGGTTCGAGGGTGTTTCGGAGGTAGGCTCAGTTGGTGGAGGTAGGTCAGGTATATAGGTGGCTTTTTTTGAGTCGTGCAGCTCCAAGTGTGGGTTGGTTCTTCGTGAACCTGAAAACTGGGACGTGTCACTTCTCCTCTGCAGGTGGCCCCTATGCCCTATGCTTGCGAGCCATCATTTGCTTGCACCGTTTGAGGAAAGACATGAGACCGCGTAGGAAGTTCACCGTGTGAGAGCATTTGCGCAGTCACAGTGGGCAACTAACTGTTGAATTGCCACCCACCTGGGCCCATGAGTCACGAGTCCCTCCTTCTGCTGGTTCCTTGAAGCCAGACTCTGGAGGTATCATGAAGCAGCTGGGTGATGGCCCTATCTCCGACTTCCCGCCCGCGGACGCCTCGCAGAGTGCCTTCACCAAAGAGGTGCCGGAGGAGGTCAAAGGAACAGAGTAGCCGCTAGTAGCTGCTGACGTAGCTAGGAACAGAGGCGACCACGCCGAATCCGAAAAAGGAGCGAACCGCGTCTGGGCAGGTTGCAGCTGCGCCTTCTGGCCCAACTAAGATCGAAGGACAGGAGATTTGATCTGGGAAAAGGAATGGGTCCTGCCATGTTCGGGGTCCATGTCTTGGTCACCCACTGAAGGATGCTCTGGTTGCAGGAGCAGAGGCACATATAGAGAGAGGTTCACCCAGAGCATCTCATAGGGGTCACCCAGAGGCGCTTGCTCCTCTGTCTCGGTCACCCATTGTTGGGTCTTTCCTCTGGTTTCCACCGAGGCAAAGAGGAACAGATGAAGAAGCAGAAGGAGGCTCAAGAGAAGGCGGAGGAACTGCTTCGGGAGCTGGGCGAGAAGGCGGGGGCGAAAACTGACTGGGAACGCCTGGGACGGCAGAAACACTTTGAAAAAAGCTTGCACTTGCCAAGCGGGTGGAGAACGCGTAGGCAGCTGCGGGTCGATGTCTCCTGTGTCCCTCTTCGGCAGGTGGCGACGGCCGAGGAGCTGGTGGAACAGCTCACCGCCTCGGCGGAACAGCTGTGCCCGGAGAAGGCGCCCCCTTCACTGCCGGTCCGCCGTGGGGCCGGGCGGAACGACGGGCTTGCCACGCGCACGCCGGCGAGTGGGGGGGGGGCTCTGGGCAGGTTGAAGCGAGGTGGGCACGCAACATCTTTAAACTGTTTTGGGTGGCACTTGGGGTGTGCGAAGGGTGGGAGTGTTGCTGGTTTAACCCGAGGAAGACGAAAGGTGGACCAGAGATGGGTTTGGTGTCCCAAAGAAGAACCAGCTCACCTGTGGTTTGGACCAGGGCGCCCTCCAAGTTCGATGATTGTGCCTCACAGGTTCCCCCTGAACACCTCAGGGGGCTCCGTTGAGGAGTTTGGCGCCTAGACGTCCCATGTAAGAGCAAGATGAGAGCCGTAAAAGAATGTAGTCTAGAGCCTAGAGTCAGTCTACATTTGGACTGCCACCGTGACTTGTACTGCACCATTTGGGTGTCACATGGTTTCATGGTCTCACAATGTCACTGGATCTATGTATGAGGGCACTGAATCGAGGATACAATGTGCCCATCTTTCAGAGTGAAGGAGCCACCTTTTGTAAACGGTTGGGCCAACGATGCTCCAGAATTGAGAACCAATTGTCGCACCACCTGCCGGGCTGAGTGTTGCTAGAATCTTCTGGAGTGATCCCAGATCGGTTTCCTCTCAGAGCTCGTGAATGCTCGTGAGGACATGAAGTTGGAGATTGTCACCAAGCTCGTGGGGGCTCCCAAACCAGTGAACACCAGAAAGCTCGTGCCCCGCCGCTGTCAAGCTTTTCCTCCGTTCGGGGGAGGAGTGGCATCGACCTCTCCTCCCTGGACTATCCGCTCAGATGACTTCGAACAGGATGGTCCTGGTATGATCCTACCGCAACATTTGGGGATGAATGCACGTTCAGGGCTCCAAGGACCCCCAGTATGGCGCATCCGGCCCCGACTCACACGGAGGTGGACCGTTGCACACGGAGGTGCACCGTTGAGCACTGGTGGTTCACCAAGGCCAACAGCATGGACTCCAAAGCGGCAGAGGCCACCGGCGCCATCAACGACTGCCACTGGGACAGAGTCCACAACTACTCGGTTGGGAGTGGAGGGGCCGCAACACTCCATTGGGGTTCTCATGAATTGTGGTTTGTGGCGTTGTTAAGGGGTGCATGCAATCTAAGACCACATCCAGTTGACTTTCGTAAACTTGAGAATTCCTGCCACCGAATCCCCAAGCGAACCATACAAAACTATACAAAACCAATCAAAACCATATACAGCCCAAAAGCAACACCAGTCACCGGAAAACAAGAGCTAACAATCTCTAAATTCCACACAGTCCAAGAAATACCGTAACTGTGTGCCTATGGTTGTCTTCTTGCTTCGGTTCTATCATTTCATCCGCCATTGGCCGCACCCAGGCCAAAGCTTCGTGAAGGAGCACGGCAACGCCATGATGGCGATGGCCTTTTCGGTCAAACCGCCCGAAGGGGTCGAGGCCGACGAGCGCCCAGCGCCGCTGGGTCGAACACCGAGACGAGCTTCTGTCATCCGGTTCAGAGTGCCAACCCAGAAGATGTGATGACGTATGACGTATGTTACTAATTGTTACTATACAATGATGTACGGTGTACGAATGTATTGCAATGTTATACGTGAAAAACTGGTACAATACACTCATATGACTAATAGGTACAGTTTCTGTGGGGGATTCTGGGCGACCGAATCTGGCAACTTTGGGATGAAGCCCATGGGCGATTCGTCGGATTGCTCGGTGGAAAACCGAGGAATCTCCCGACGATGCGCTTGCGCATGGCGGAGGTCCTGAAGAAGAAGGACTTGGGCCTCATGACCCGGCCTCCATCAGAATTGAAATTGAGCCTCCCCCAGGTCGCCCGGAGCCTCTATGGGTCTTTCATTGGAATCACTTGGATGAGCGACTTGGGGGGCCCAACACTTAGGGCGGCTTGTTTGGGAGATGTGCTCAAAAGTCTGGGGGGTGCACTGGACAAGTTGGACTGACATGGGTGCTCCGGGGTGCCCCAGGGTGCCCCTGTGAGAAAGTCCATGCTGGGTTGTTTGCTGTGCAATCATGTTAGATGATGGTGGTTGAGAAGTTCCTGACCCTGAAGAGGGTGAAAGCCAGGGAACAAGTCTTGTGTCCTCACCTGTCTTAGTGATGCCATATGGTTGGACAGGCGTAACAACCTTGTGCTTCCTTGGAAGCATCGACCAAGAAGTCGGACCCAATTGGGCCAGATGCGATGGGGTGTAATGGATCACCTCAAAAATGGTCCAGCTGGGTAATGTATGGTCTGACCTTGCCGAGCTTGTTGACCTCCGGCGATGGGGTGTTGATCGTGTTGATACTCCGGAGTTCGCATGAAGGCATGCCGGCGTGACATCTGGAAAGACGCCAGATGTAGTAGCGTTGAAGAGAGATGAAGATGATGCAGTCCCCCAGACTCTACATGCCTGTGATCCCATCGGCCATCGAGACTTGAGGGATTTTGAGGGTCCAGGAGTCCAGCCACATCGAAGATCTGTCCGCCAGCCGCACACATCGAAGATCGACGTAAGAACGTAACTGCACAACGTAACGCAACTGGAGCTTACTCTTGGCTCAAAGAGTAGCAGGCTGGAAAGGCTCGCTGAGCCGGACCTACAGACCACCGATTTCCAAAGCAGGGGCTGAGAGCGAGCCAGGATGAGGCGGGGCACTTCCAATATCTTCGATTTTCGTGGATTTGGGGAGTGGGTGGAACGATCAAGGGGCCGCAAGGACTAGGGAGTCCTTCCCCCAAAAACGACAGTAAACTTTTTTGGCCATCACTAAGGCACTGGGCTGAGCAAAGTGATATATTTATGTACACCCTAGAAGTCCAAAGACTATATATTGACCGGCTGAAGCAAAGGAAGTTCCCTTTCAGGCCCCCTAAAGACCATTCTTTTTATAGTCTTTGACTCCCAGGGTATAACACAAATATATAGGTGAAGGTTGTGTTAGATGTTTATTATGTATGTCATATGAGTCATATGTGTCTATATATATATATATCATTTTATAGATAATTGTCCATTCTCTTGTGCATTTTGTGCAGATGCCCCAGATTTCAGTGGCTCAAAGGCGTACACCAAGCAGGTAGACACATCCCAGAGGACATGCTCCACGAGCAGCGAAGCCTGGTGCGTGATGATGTGTTGGAAGAAGGGCCAGAGGGCCAGAAGGAGGTGGGGGAAGTGAAGAACCCGTTGAACTGGCAGGGTTTTGCCCTGCGAGTTGGCATTTTGGCAATGGTTGTGTGTGTGTGCGTCCTTCTTTGTGATCATCAGGCAGAGTTGGAGTCCCAAGAGCTCCCCAGAGGCGGAGAGTAAGGACACCGTAACTCTTTTTGATGGGAGAAACAAGAACTACAAGTGTGCAAGGCGAGGATGTACAGGCGGTCATGGAGTCCAACATACATCATCCTCCAGCTGGACGGATGAAACATGTGCAAAGAAGTGCCCGGGGTCGTTCACAGGATGGGAAGTTTCGCCCGACGGCTGCTTTGCCTGAGTGACGGTATGTGCAACATCTTCACGAACAATGGTTTCAGTTGGGTTCCACTTCCTATTATGCAAACCTGCACCGTGCTTGTTTCCAAAGTGACAGGGAGCTGGGAGAGGTTGAAGTGCGCCATGACCAGCGAAGACTACATGTTGGAGAAGGGAACCTCCAAAAGTCAAGACTGGTCTAGTGAACCGAACTTCATGGATGCCGCTGCCATCGCTTCGAAGGCGGCGGGCTATGACATCGGCAGCTCGACCTTCTCCCAAGAAGTGAAGGTGGCGCAGACGGTCAAGCTACGTCCCAAGAAAGGACACCAGGAGTGCCTGTGGCAATGGACTCTCGATGTCCACGGGCCGCCGACCCTCGGAAGCGTCGTGACCAAAGCAGATCACTTCGTGATCACCGCCCAGCCTGAGCCATCTCCCAAATGCCTTCCTGATTACTTTGACCTGTCAGATGATACGCTGCAAACCTGTAAAGAGGGCAAGCATATCTAACCTGCAAGATGCCCCTGATATGTCAGGTCCCTTCAGGGCCTACTTTGAGTAGCATGACCTGGCTCGAACGCACAAACATGAAAACATTACAACTCGCATCTCTACTGGTTGGTGGTTTTAGTCATTAGTTATTTGACGTGTTGGGAAACTTCCCCATCTTGCTTCGAAGGATGGTGCCAATTGACGATCATATCTTGCACGGGGTAGCCCAGCCACCAATCAGTTTGAGATCAGAGTCTCAAACTCATCTCAAGCATTGTGACTTTCTCATAGGATGCTTTGGTTGAGCCGGTGCACTTCCTTATGTGTTGGGCAGGTCATTATTCATATTATATGGCTTTGTCCATGAATGGGGTACAGTACACAAAATGCCGCCAGGAGTAGTACAAATAATTGGGAAATTATGCAACATGACGATGCACCAGCTGGAATTCAGAGATGCCCCTCCTTTTGAACAAAGCCATATCGCATGACGATGAGAACGCAGACATCACAAGATCGTTTTTACCAGCCTCATCATCTAACAGATTCAGAACTGGATTCTACTGTCTACTTGATTTTTGTTAGCACCTGCCACGAATTTGATTCAGAACTTGATTAACTTCTGATTAACTATACCCGCCAAGGCACGAGTCCAGCCGCAGGCCAAAGTGCCATGATTTGTGGTGTCTGCGCCGACTTGAGCACTGCCGCAAAAATGAGCCTTTGCAATGCACACAGCTGACATTTACCATGGCTGTTTGAAGCTCCGCACTTAGTATAGTATTGACTGGAGTCGAGAACCAATGAACTTTCGTCCTACTGCCGGATTGCCATGACACTACCAGGACCATTGTCCTTTTTTCCTTTCCACTGTCAGCCCTGCACTGGATCACCTCGAAAAGCTATGGCCAGGAAATGCAGTGTGGGGTTGGAGACCTCCAAAAGGGCAACCCCTTCCAAAAGCTATGCGGCTGCCTGCACGCCGCAGAAGCAACCCCTTCAGCAAGCTGGGCTGCTTTCGAGTCCCGAATCCTGCGTCCTGCCAGGAACATGGCCATTGAGGTGGAGGATGAGTCGGATTCCACACTCCTCAGCCAGCCGCCCAGCGCCAACTCCCCGGCCTTCAAGAACGCCATGGCTGCAGCCGCTGGGACGGGTGTTCGCGGTGAGGGAAGGAGGCTTGAACATGGAAGGACCAGGTAAAAGCGGGAGGTTAGAGGAGTCACACCTCTCAGAAAGGATCCCAAAGGCCAACCCTTCCCTGTCTTTTTGGATCTTTTTGGTGTGCAGGTGCGGATGTGAAGAAGTTTCTTCACGCGAAGAGCACGTCCAGAAATCGAGGTCTTGGTGGGTGTGATCATGAGCACCGTGGTGGGCGTGACCGTCTACCAATCCACGCGGCCTGCCAACAGCCTGGCCATGCGGGGTGCGCGAGATGGCTTAGAGGCGCAGGTGCTGAGCGAGAAGTCGGAGTACTTGATCTCTCTAGGCGCGGGGGGGGGAAGGAAGCGACTGCTGGAGGGGTCTTGGTGGAGGGTTTTGGGCCTTTTGGGAAGGGGAAGGTGGTACCTCCAAAGCAGATGGGTCTGAAGTCTGAAGAGGATGGCAGTCTTATCAATTGTATTCCATGTATACACTTGTAAACGACAACATACGACAACGATATTTTAAGAGTTTGTGTTTGTTTGTGCGGCTTGGGGCAAGAAGACCCGGTGGTGCAGTCCATGTAGATGGCCTTGGCATTTTTCAGCTTGTGGATGGTCACCACCGTCCACTCTTCCAGTGGAAGCTCGAGCGGCGTCTGTGTCCGCACTAGAGAACGCAGACGAAAAGTACCCTTTCGAAGCTTTCCCCATGCTGACAGCCTCAACGTGCCTCAATGATACATTCAAACGATTTCGGAGGTGCCAACGGCAACAACCGCCAAAAGGTTGCGAGTCATTTTCCCTTGACCCTCTTGACTTAGCACCTCTGCAGGCTTGGGCAGTGTGTGCCGTATGAGCCCAGAGGCAGGTTGCTTGGGCTGTGGACAGGATCCATAACTAGCATACCTTAGCAGGCATAGGACTTGATCATGATCCATGCCCAGCAGCGCCTTTATGACCAAAGGCTTGATGAATTGTCATCGGAATCGCGTGGAAACGCGTCCCGGACCATCTTGCGGTGACCCTCGTTTGAACTGTCTGAAGTTCTCCATCTCCTCCACCAGCTCAGACGGGATTCTGTCATATTACCCATACAGGGACCCCAGCGTGTTTTGTACACCTTAGCGGTGTAGGTGTTCTTCCATCAGCAGTGCTGGTAACCCCTGCTGGTAGCACTCGATGTGGAGACCGCCCCCGGAAGCACGGAGCAGACGAGCCACCACGGGTGTCCCATCCAGAGGATCTGAAGGAAAACCGCCCCCCCGGGCCCTTCTGCCGTCGAATTCGTCCGTTGTTGGGCCCTTGAACCCGGGTCCTGGGGAAGAAGAGCAACACCCACCTCGGCGGCGCGGCGCGGATACGGATGGGCCAGGACACCAATCTGGTGCCTAAGAAGGCGAAGGTGATTCACGGCATCAGCAGCGAGAAATGCCAGAAGGAGTGCGAGGCGGAGGCTGACGCTTGGCGCAGCCATGGGAGCTTTTGGACCTATTTTGGGCCCCTTCCTACCTTCCAAGCAGGTGCTAATCAGCAAAAGCTCAGCGAATGAATTCTGATGAACACGAGTAGCTAGCAAGAATGCAAGAACAACGCCCACAAGCTAGAGTCTTGTTGTTGGTGTAGTGTTCTATCTTTCCTCTTCTCCAACAAGTCATCGTGTGGACGTGGGTCAAAAACAGCGCAGCAACAGCCTCAGCGCTCTAAGTGACTTGGCGTGCCCAGGAATGCCGGGCCATGGAATACCGGAATTCCGAGCAACGCTGTGAGAAGTGGTACACCCCGGCACGGTGGCACAAGAATCTCGTGGAGCACAAGACCGTCAACGGGAACCCGGACTTCCACTGTCTGGTGAAGTCCGGAAGGTGCCGAGGAGACTCCTGTGGTCCTATTTGTTTTTTAATACCAGGGCCCCCTTAGGGGTGGTTAATGGACACCCCTTAACCTCTGTAAGGAGCTATTATCAGACACCCCTTTAGGCCCTTAGGGGGCCCAGGTATGTTCTATTATATATACTGATTGTATGTTCCTTGATTTTCTTCTCATTTCCTTTGCTTAACTCGCCCGCCTGGATTCGTGCCGTGTTTCGCGGGTTCTGTGCGGGAAGAACGCCCCAAATGTCGCGTGCAGAGCCAGAAGATCCGGTCTCACTTTTTGGGCCACGGATTTGGCACTCACAACGCACAACTCGTTTTGGCGTATATAATACAGTCCCCGCATCCATTGGATGGATGGTGGTGTGCCCATCTCTTTTAGCCCCCCTCGGTGAAGGTGCGAGACCTTGAAGTTGCACAAGAAGGCGGACCCGCTCAGCGATCCGCACCGGACTGCTCCCTCGCTATCCCCGCGATCGACGGGGGGGCACGGCGGTGAGGTCCTGGTGATTCACGGTCCGCGACGGTCCCAAAACCACGTGCCGGTGGGGATCCAGCCGCTGGGGCTGGATCCCCCAAACAACGAAGGACGGCCTTTCTCCAGACATAGGAAGGAATCGCTATCATCCTTTCGTCGTTTTTGGGCTGACTGGCAAGCAAGCACCTTGAAAAAAGGAAGCACTTCCTAGCCCCTGCCAGGGGCCCCACAAATCATCAATAGACATTATTTTCTCGCGGAACCTCGGTCTGGGTTTTCGCCGCGTCGGCACAGGTTTTGGAGGGTGAAATGGATGAGCTCTTGGATCATATCAAGAACAACTGCATGGAGGGTCCAAGCCACTTGGCTTGAAATGGCTGGGGCAAAGAGCAGGAGTTCAGGAGTTTCTGGTAAAGAAAGGGAACTTTTAGACACCCGTTTCCGGTTCTTTCCTTTGAACCTTGCCGGGTGAGAAGATACATCATACATCATGTCATACCATGCTTGTCCGTGAGTGTCGGAGTGGAGCTTCCGGGCCAACTTCCAAGAACCCAAGTTCATTAGTTGGAAGACCGGACCTGTTAATTAGTTGGATTACAAACTAAGTGTTAATAAACATCATCCTAATTAACACTTAAGTTGGAAGACCCCTCATCCACAGGGCGTGGCAGACTGCCCGTGGCAGACTGCCTTGTGGCCAGCCAGTTCTAGTTTTTGAGTCGTCGTTTGAAGTGTATAAGTCCCAGTTCACGTCAACCCAATTCAATGCATAGGTTCTGTTTATATAACTATTCCATATTGCAGACATTTCCGGGCTGGCCTGATGTTTCCTTGTCGGACTGATTGAAAGGATCTAAACCTCGTTATGGCAACCCAGGGCTTGGCTCACAGTGCCCCTAAGTCGAGTTGGTCGCGGCACAACACATGGATGAGACCACCCAAACCTGCAGGGAACAGGGAACGGTGGCTTGGGTGGGTGGGACATGCAGGGAATTGCTTCAGAATTGGCCAAGGCAGTATCGCGAGGTCACTTGCATCGACACCGAGAATAGAGCTCTTGAAGACTACCAGGTGAATAGGTGTAAACACTGGCTGAGCCAAATTGACCGGAAGTGACAAAGACAGAGACAGAAACCAAGGCCTTTCAAGGTACACTTCCAAGATCTTAAGTAGTCAGCTGCTTCAGCATGTCTCCAAACCCAGGGTCTTGCTTGCCAACGTGGACCATGCCAACCGTCGTTTCTGTGAGTTTCCATGAGCATCCGTGCGCACTTGTCAGGTGGTGACAAGTATAATATGTGCTCCTCGCAGTACGCCCAGAGTATGCTCAACACGAACAAGAGGCTCTGCGAGGCCATGATGAGTTCCTGCGCCGAGGAGGCCGCGCGAGGGACGCCGCCTTCGGTTTGCTGGGTACGGTACGGGTGGTCGTGAAGGACAATGGAGAGCGCCAGTAAAACATAAAGGGTTTGCCGTGCTGCGGCAGTGTATTTCCACATATCATATATCTTCTTATTCGTCCTCCATCAGTTGGAGGTGTTGCTTGAGGTCGCCTCATCTGCTAGGCCGGTCTGGTGGTGTTCCACCCATGTGCCTTTCGCCCTAACAGCACAGGGAACCCCCAAACTGGAGATGCCAAGAGTGCCTTTGAGGAACCTCAGGTGCAGGGCATGACCTTCCGAATTCTCGGAAATACCTCTCAGATCCTCTCAGATTCTACTTTCTGACACTGGCCTCATCAAACGTAATCCTTAATCCTAAGGGGGATTACGGATTGCAAACTATCGGATTGTCCGGTTTGGGGCGGATTACGGATTAGAACTCAGAGCCCCCGTCTTGAGACTAGGATTACGGATTGGAGCTTTGGATTGTTTGGCGTGTGCAGATCATTCCTATTGGCGAAACAACTCTGATTCTGGAGCACCTTCGGCTCCATTACCCCCAGCTAGCGCGATGGTTGTGAGGATTCCTATGGCCACAAGCACCCTTCACAATCCCGATGGCCACAAACACACTTCGCAGTCCAGAGCCACCCATTTGAGTGGTTTGAGTTGGTTGCTTCCAAATCGGGGCTGTGAG